AAAAAGAAGGTCATACATGATTTAAATAGAGCAATTTCAAGTAATGAATTAGAAAACGTCATCAAAAGCCTACCAACCAAGAAAAGCCCAGGACCAGATGGATTCTCAGCTGAGTTCTACAAGACTTTCAAAGAAGAATTAACACCAATATTCCTCAAAGTACTCCATGAAATTGAAAAGGAGAGAACCCTTCCAAACTCATTCTGTGAGGCTAATATCACCCTGATATCAAAACCAGACAAAGGCACATCAAGGAAAGAAACTTCAGACCAATATTCCTGATGAACAAGTATGCAAAAATTCTCAATTACATTATGGTTTATTATTTATATCTGAAATGAATTTTTCTGTTATGATATTTCTTTTCATTTTATCTTCTAATACTTGTTAAATATTTACCTTTCTCCAATTCATTTTATTTCTGATATATTTTTTTATTTTCATTTTGTTCATTCTTACTTTTTTTCATTTTCTGCTTTGTTATCATCTCTATTCTGTTTTCCATATTTGCCAATATATTAGTTAGTTCATTTTTCTTTTTTATATAGTATATATTGTATGGACATAGACATAATCTATTTCTTTAATTTATGGTTCAATGAGAAAATCATGCCTGTGCTTTTAGAAGGTTTCTGTGGCAATAGATTTTAATTGGGATGGTTTTCTAACTTCACGTTCTATCGGTACTTTTCTTTAAGCTATTTTTCCCCATTAGGAAAAAACTTGTCCTAGGAAATTGTTTTTGTTTAAATTTTCCTCAGTCTTTCTGAAATGGTACTTTATTACCTTAAGTCTTGTTCTCATCATTAAATGGTCTGCTTCAAAATTATTCATAAATTGAGTTTATATAATTGTGTCCCAATTTACACATTGTTGACAGGTTACCTTGTTGAGAATTATACTTTGAAGAGTTGTCTTCCCTTTGTAATATAAATGTTTGCTTGAAATTTCTGTGTTTTAGGATTCTTGGGATCATCAAGTTTCCTATTTTTTTTCCTCTTCAATCTTCTCACAATCTAACCCACACAAAACCCAGCAGTGTGCTTATTACTTTTTTGAGTTTAGAAAAAAATCACTTTTATGTATGGTTTCTGTACATTCCTTGTACTAGAATTGAGATGGTATCTTCAGTACTTAGTCCCCCCAGGAACTGGAGTAAGATAAAGTTCAAAACCAAACCTCATTGTAGGGATTTGGAATTTATAGAAACATTCATAAATGTGTTAGATACATTTTACACAGCAGAATGATAGTTTAGGTTATCTAATAAATTAAAATATGTGCATAATTTATGAACAAAATTCTACTCTTAAATACATATCTAGAAAAATGTTCACATACTGCTTTTATCCCAAGATGAATCCTATTGGCAAAAAAAGATGTCATTGATTTACATCCAGCTCTTAACCACAACAACAGAGAATAGAATGCTTTTCATGAAATATTCATGAGTTATGTCCAAAAATGTAACCACTAAGAAATCTGCTTTGAATTCCAAAATATAGACATAATTCAATCAATTTAAAAAATAAATTAATAAAAAATAAAAAACTCTGCTACCCAGGTATTTCTATAAAATGTTGCTAAATATTTTAAACGTAGCAAAACAGAATTGCAGAAATTCTACAAATAAATTTTAATAAAAAGATAGCTAATTCAAATATACAGTCATAGTCTATGATGTTTTTTAGGGAATATACATAACATTAAATATTTTATCAATAAAAAAGAATTAAAATGCAACTTAAGAACATTATAAAATGAAATAAACCAAAAGAAGGCATATTTAAGATATCAATAAGGAAAATGAAGTAATATAAGAGCAGAAATAAATTTTTTTCTTTAAAATATCTGGTACAAAGTGAATGGTCATGATCAAAGATAGTCTCTTATGCAGTATCTGCATAATACTAGTATTGTGGCAAAAGCCACTTAAAATAGTCAATTATAGATAAAATAAATTTCAAATAAATATATACATTAATAAGTAAACCATAAAATGAGAATGGAAAACATTAAAATCTCTGTAGTTTACCATTTTTCTACAAAATATAAATCTACCCAAAGATATTAAATCTGTTTTTTTTAATAACACGACAGCCAACTTAAATAAATAATATAAACCAGTGAAATGACTCAATATTTTGGCACAGTGCTATTCAGTAATTCCTGGGACAACAAACTATGTACTCCTTTAAAATATTAGGGATACTTGTGTATTGTCTGTAGGTTACATTAAGAATATGCATTAATTATGGAATAACAAATTACTTTAAATTAAAAATTAAAATAAGAAAGGTACTATATAAATTGGCTCTCTGTATATATACTGGCTCTCTCTATACAAATTGGTACTATATAAATTTCTCTTAAAGCCAGAAAAGTTTGTAGCATTATATGACTATGCAATTGACAAACACAATTACTGAGCTAGTTGGGTATGTAGACATGTCGGGGAAGACAAGATTACTCCATGAAGGTATCAGAAAGGGAAAAGAAATACCCAGTTTTAAAAGAAATTGTAGAAATGACCAGAAAGACTAGTGGGAATTTTATTTTATTCAGCAAGAATTCTTAATAGGAAAGTTATTATAATTAATGATAGAATGATCAAATTGTAAATGTCTTAAAAAGCCTAAGGTGGTAGTTTGGTGGAGAGCAAATAATGTCAGACATATTTAATTTCTTTTATGACAGAGTGAGAAAAAAGTCGTTCATTTACTTGATTGGGAATTGAGTCAGTTTCTTCATTGGGTTCCACTGTACAATCACCTCAGCAAGCTTGGAAGTAAGACAGGTACGAGTACCCAGAGGGCAGTGATCAAATGTCCATTGTCAGTGTCAGAGGATGTGAAGAATATTCTTTCTTTACAGTTGTCAGAGTTCTGGGGTAATAATTATACAAGGGATTGAAAGGCCTGAATAAGGAGTGCTTTTCAGTTTAAAAAGGCAATTGAAAGTGACTTGTTAGTACTTTGGAGTGGGAAAGTAGGAAATAATGCTATAATACTAAGTAGAATCTATGGACATATAACTTATTTTTAAAAAGTTTGGTTTATTTAAAGATACTTTAGGTAGGGCTGGGGATGTGTCTCAAGCGGTAGTGGGCTTGCCTGGCATGCGCGGGGCGCTTGGTTCGTGTATGCCAAAAACTAAAAAATAAATACTGGAAAAAAAATTTCTCTCTCTCTCTCTGTCTCTCTCTCTCTCTCTCTCTCTCTCTCTCTCTCTCTCTCTCTCTCTCTCTTAAAAAAAATTAAAAAAAAATACTTTAGGTAAACCACAGTATATAATTGATAAAATGGTTGTAAATGACTGTATAAACTATACTTTGGAGCTCTCATTCAGGCATTATGTGTGTAAGCAATGTAATATTACTTCAAAAAGATTAGGTTTCCCATGGGTCCAATAGATTATTATCTGGCTTATTATGGGAATTTTTCTATCACCTATTTTAAATCATTTTTGGACATATGTTAATTAACAATAGAACAGCAAAGAACAAAGCAAAGATATGCTACTGTAGCCATATTTGGAAGTAGACAAATAGCTGTTTCAAAAGGCAAAAAAACAAGTATTAAAATATACATATTTAATAGTCACCATCACCTTCCTCTACTCCAAAACAACAGAAGCAAAATGTTTTGTTCCATTTATAACAAAATGGAGAAACTTCTGCATGTAATATCCATAGCTTCATTTACTTTGTATTTTGGAATGGTACATTTGGCCAAGAGGAAGGACAGAAAACCCATTTACAGATATGTTATGGAAATAACAACTAATTAACATAAGGGAATTAGTTCAACGAAAACTTTCTGTAATCCAAACCATTTATTTTGTATAGTGAATTCTATGGAGTTACTCTAGCTTTAACTTGTCCTCTCACTCCTCCCTTATTAGTCCAAGTGAGCATCATTTCTCAGCCACACAAATGATATGTTTTTTTTTCTTCACTTGCCCTCTGCTCTGAATGGTTGTGAATATCACCTGCCAAATGTTTTCTACATTTACTGTTCTGCAGCCCACAGGTTTTCTTGCTTCTTGCTCTTTTAAAAGCAAACTTATTCTTTCTCATCCTTCAGAATTGTGCTCAATGGCACTCTGGAAATCTAAAGTAATAGCCCACACCTTGCCTCTGCTCTCCTGTATATTCTCTCTAGCTTTACTGTATTTATTCTCTACTCCCATATGGAAATGTTTCTGCACATGTATTCCTTTTCTAATTGTGTTTTCCTCATAAAAATATAGATTCCATAAAAACAGGAACATTTTCTTATTTTCTGCTGTATATATCTTTGGTAACTATATTAGAATTTCAAAAAACTTTATGAAATTAGTTCATTAAAAGATGCAAGGGTAGATAAATTATGTACATGTACTTAGAAATATCCATTTTGGCAAGATTCTCACAGGATGAAACTAAGTTCCTCTCCTCCATCTCAACAGATACTTTCGTCCTGATGAATGATAATGCTTACAGATTTCACCATTTATCTGACATTTGTGACTACTTTTAAATTGTTTTTAAGATTGGTTGGAATGTAAAACTATTGTGCAGTTTCTTTTTACTATGCATTTTTGATAATTGGATGATTACAATCTTCAAATTATTTTTATTTAGAAATGATCTAAGTAAAAATGACACATAACTTTAAAATATGTTTTGTTCTGTTCATTGCTCCTTGGAAACTTATGTTTGTTTAGACAATTTAGGTAGTCAGGGTGAATATTTCCTCTTTTGTTAGACGATGTTTAAAATGAATTAAATATATCACTTGTTTCACAGAAGACAGAGTCACATCTTAAAGTGTCACTTGTTGGTTTTAGTTGACAGCAGTCACCTTATTCACAGTAGTGACATTCACATTGTTGTTAGAAAGATTTTGTTACTGGCCTTTTATCAAGATTCTTCAAAATCTGATCTGGGAAGAGGAAGAATATGAACAGTCAGCATGTTTATGATGATTTATTTCATTTTTTTCTTCTGATTTTTTCAGAAATTGAAAAATTTCAAGGTTCTGATGGAAAAAAGGAAGATGAAGAAAAGAAATATCTTGATGTCATCAGCAACAAAAACATAAAGCTCTCAGAAAGAGTATTGATTCCTGTCAAGCAATATCCAAAGGTACTGCAATGTAAGCTTTATTCTCATTGAACTAAGAAAAAATGACAAAAATAGGACTTGACATTTTATTCATTGCCTTTTATAAATTAAATATTTAAAGGTTCATTATATACATATATGCAAACATATAATACTGACATAGAGGGAGGAAAACTCTTTGAAAATACTATTGTGAGGGTAATTTTCAACTGAAAGCTATAACATTTTTGTTTTATGACTGTGGGAAGCATAATTAGGTACTTTAATAATTTATTTAATATATAAATGATTAACCAGTTTGTCCAAATATGTACAGCTACATTATTATATTTTGGTTCATTTTAAAATGAATATTCTTATTATAAAAATAGATTTAAGTTTATTAATATAAAATATTAGCTAATCAGGAAAAAATATTATACACAGGAAAGTAACATAGTCTTTCATAGACTCTTGGATTATAGCTTTACATCTTCTCTATTCAAGATTTCATTTGTGGAAATAAATTTCATGTTGTTCTTAGTATAATAGCATCTCTCTTTTAACTACTTTTCCACTAGTACAGCATTGATTATAAAACACAGAATTTAATGGCTTGCTTTCATTGATTATATTAAAAAATGGGTAAAAAGAGGTTTTTTTTTTTCAAATAAATGAAATAACCAAAAATAGAAACTCAAAGAGTCAGGCTGATAATTTACTTTCTGAAGTGTGAATCTGAAGCAAGAACCATGTAATTATCTTAATAATAAAGATTCTAGAAATAAGTGTTGTAGTTTACCCAGTGTCTTCTAACATGATAAATTTTAGCAAATATAATTAAATGGAATGTTTTGTTCACAATTATTTCAAATAAGAAAAAAACTGTTACAACCCAGAGAACCATAAAATTTAACTTTCAAATGAGATTTTTTGGACATGCAAAATTTTTGTTTTGTTTTGGTCTGTTGAGTAAGTCTTAATCTATTACAAGAAAAACATGTGTAGAAGGTATATGTTGTTTGAAGTAAACATTATTTGACTTACCCTGTAATTATGTTTTATGGATATTAAATTGGACAATATAAATGTACATGAAAATTTTGGCATAGTAATGAATAGAAGTGTGAATGAAATATTAGGAAGAATTATCTTCTTCAAAAAACTTGATTCATTAACCTTTGCAGTCTTAATTAGAGAGTTATTTCCTTAAAGTATATTTAAATATGCTGTATGTTGATACTGATTCTTGGAATAATATTTGTTTATTTTCTGGATATGGGATGCCCAATGACAGACTCAGTATATACTGCTAAAAAGCATGCATCTCCGTATTTTCTGTCCACATGAAGTTAGTAAGGAATAGAAGGCATTTGAATTCCTCATGGCTCTTCAAGTTCCAGTACCAGTGGTTTGATTCTATTACAATAGTCTGTTTTTGATTCATAATGGTGACTGTTGAAACAAGAATGTTCTGTAGCACCAAATTTTTGTGTAAAGTTTAATTTCATAACTCATAAGAAGATGCTCAAACAACAAAACTGCCTATTTTCATTGCAGTAACCATTGATTGCTGGAAATTTTTTTTGCTTCTTAGAATTTTTAGAATCATAAAATATGTAAGCATGAACTAATCTTGGAAATCACAGAATATATAAAACTTTCACATAGTGGGAAGATGGGACCTTGAGTTGCCCAAGGTCCTATCTTGGTTACAGATGGAGATATTTAGTGCACTTGTTGTTATTTCAGATTTTTTGTGGTTTTGTGAACCATTGCATTTTTTAAAATATTTATTTTTTAGTTGTAGTTGGACACAATACCTTTGTTTTATTTATTTATTTTTATGTGGTGCTGAGGATCGAACATAGAGCATCGCACACACTAGGCAAGCACTCTACTGCTGAGCCACAACCCCAGTCCCCCATTGCATTTTTAATGTAACTGAACATGTTTGCATTACTTTTTCATATAAAATGTGGAAGGAATGTGAAAAATGATAAGTCTTAGTGGCTAATACTTGTATGAATTAGCCTGAAATAGCAATTCATATTCACCAAAATTTAGTATTTATTTAATTAGTGAATAGCCTGCTGAAATCTTTTAATTTATTTTTAAAGGAATGTCCATTTCTTCTAATTATCATGCTTAAAAAAATTCTAGAGCCCTTTAATAGAAAGAGAGTAGAATACTGAGAAACCAACCAAAATTGTATATCAACATTGACCTATTTTTTCTTATACTACAATAAAATCATAATATTCCAAAAACAAACCATATTTTATTACAAAAGTGACATTCTTTCATGCTGTTTTATTGCCTTCTTCTCACAAAAATATTAGTGAAATACTATGAAAAGTATGACCACTAAACTTGAGCTGTATTTGACATACATTTGTAAACTGTAAAATGTGTGGTATGGCATGATAATATGAGCCATTGAGCAGAGCACAACAGTTTAAGGGTTTACAGTTTAATCTTTTATAATAAAAAGTGATTTATCTCTCAGGGGGTATGCTGGAGAAGGACCTGTTTTACATAACTCTCTCAGAACCATCTCTCCCCTTGATGCCTGCTTTCTTTTTGAACCAGTAATTAATGCATTGATGACACAGTCCTTTCAAACAAAGGGCAATAAATAACTGTGGGAATTCTTGGGGAAATGACCTTATCATGACTTCACTACATGACCTTTTTGGGATAGATTTTGTTTCAATTAGTCTCCAACTTCAAGTTAATTTGCTGACTTGGTTGGATACTACAAGGAATTGAAAGAAGTTTAAGATTTTAAATTATAGAACATGTAAGAATGCTGTTCAAGCACTTTAAGAATGATTTATCTTGCTCTAGCAATTTATATTTAGTGATTTAAATTTGAGAAAATATCAAATTTTTTAATGGGAATTTTTAAAACATTTTTGTAACAATATTAATAGATATTGGGATCTGTGCTAAGTGAACAAATTGTAGTAGTTTTTGCTATCACACAAAAAAATGGGTAACTAGTTGAGAAAATGGTGACCTTTATTTGATTAACTGTAGTTACCTTTACAATCCATACATTTTCCATAATATCATGTTGCATATCTTAAGTATACACAATACAGTTTATTTTTAAAAAATTAATAGAGAAATAGACAACAATGTGTATCTGTTTGGATTTGCAAATGTTTTGAACTAGAGCAATTATTTCTTGATAGTTAAACCTCAAAGAATGAGGAGTATGTGGCAGCACAGTGCACTGTATTCCTGAGAGATGCATGTGTAACACCCTGGAGAACCGTGCCCAATCCATAACTCTCTATTTCCCAAGCCCACATATGTCATAGTACAATATACTTTTATCCCAAATTTTAATGTGTCTGACTGGTATGCATATTGTAGTTAGAATCATTTTGCCATCTCTCTAAGGAAGCAGTGGTCATAACTCATTGTTTTTGCCTGTGCATATAGAAAATTGTTCCTGGCTTTTTATGTTAAGTTATTTATAGTTTTCAAACTCTGTGTTTAGTTCAGATTCAGCTTGAAATGTCTTCAAGCAAGATTTCATTATGATTTAGGCTGGACATACAAAGCTAATTAAAAAAAAAGAATAAAAGCATAGCTTGGGGTATAAATTTGATAATAATAAAGACAGTTTTTATCCTTGGAAGAATGAGACAAAATTCCATATTTTCTTTGATTGCAGTGAACAAGTAGGACTTTGGAAACCAAGACATCCATAAGTAGCCAAAGCTGTGCATATGTTTTATTATTCTAGACATACAAAGGAATTCCTTTCACAAAAGTCTGGGTGAACTGAGATGCGTCAGAGAACTGGAGAAGCATTGCCTCCAGTTTTGAGAAGAGCTCCGCCTGTACCTGTTTGTTCACCTGGGCAATTCAACTTCGAAATGCCTTTTAAAAATGTCTTTTTGATGTGCTTTCAGAATCCTCTAAAATATATCAGACCCATTCCTTCAATTAAATTTGCCCCAAGGTCCACTTTTTATTTCTTTACTTGAGTTACTGCCAACTTTTTAAAGTAATGTATTGCCAAGAGTGAGATCTGCCCCAAATTTGGCCCCTTTTAAGATCAAACACAGCCATGTCCCCCTCTGCTGCTTTTCAAATCAATTCCTTATGTGGATTAATGCAGAAAATTAAAGTTCCAAAATATGTTCAAAAGCATCTCACTTGCTCTATATTTTTCCTTACTCTGCTCAGTCCTGAATAGGCGGGTAGTCTTCTGTGCCAGGCTGGATAGTCTCATCTGCAGTTCCAATTTGCCATGTCCTCCCACAGAGCCTGTGTTTTCTTCTTTATACTTCAGAGTATGAAATATCCAAATCCAAATCCTTGGTCTCTGTTATATTTTCTAACTTTCTAAGTAATTGTGAGATCATTTAAAAATAATTAATAGAGATTCAGTTTTTCTAAATTTGGAAATTCACTGTGTTTCAAAGCCAATGTAACCACTTAATCTTGGGCAAAACCTCTCTAGTTTTCTAAGGAATTTGTTTTTCTAGAAACCACTGTGTAGCCTACAAGTAAACCTGTTTTATCAGACAGAGACCACTGGACAGCATTTTGCTTTTTATTTTCCTAAAGGAAATAGAAGAGAGGATTTGAGGTGCTTTCTGACTTCAGTTTTGTTCATATCAGTTTTCTAGCCTCTCAACTGTGAATTTAAATCTCAATTGAGGAAATGATATGACACTCAGATTCACAATTCCTATGAGGAAAAAAAGATTTCAAGGTGCTAGTAGGGCACATTCTTTCCAGTAAATGATTTTGAAATAACCCCATTTTCTAGCAAAATTTAAAAAAAAATTGCAAGGGTATTATATCTAGTATTTGTCTTATTTGATCAAACTTTGTCTTAATTAATGCTTATTAATTAATGCACTTTAAATGGTATGTTGTTTTTTTATATTTTTTCACTATTTGTTTCTACATCTCACATTGGCCCATACATTCTTAATTTTTAATTATGTGAACTTTTTCCCACAACATTCATTTTTATGGATTCAGAAGACCCTCACAAAATATGTCCTTGTACT